ATCTTAGTCTTCATATCTTCAAGTAAATAATTTGGTTTTGGTCCTAATTATATGTAATTACCTTCATCTCATAAAACTTGAGAAAGATCTGCCATATATGAGGGCCCCTGGAAGATGGAAGAAATACACCGCCACCAATAGCTACGGTTTGAACCAACATCGAACCATTACGAGGTTCGATCGAGCCGAGACTCGTCTCAAGTTCATCTTTGAATTTATCCGTATTTTTTTCTATGTGATGATTTTGATTTGGCTGTCTCCAAGTTTTAGCAGCTCCAGAAACAGGACCGACATTGTCCGGCTGCCTGTTTTTCCGGGAAGCATTACGCCGAGACAAAACGGCAGAAAAACTAGGCTCTTCAGTGTCATATGGAGAGTCATCATAAGTGCTATTCACAGACGTTTCGGAAGTTCGATTTAGCGAGAGGCAGCCAGTAAGGGGAAGTATCAGACTTGCGACGCTGGAGAATCGCCGAGCCACGGGTTGACCCGAACTAGCCCCGTCGGAAGAGCTAGATGCAAGGCGCTCAATCAATCCGTGCTCTAGGAGGCCACGAAGGGCTGGACAAAAAATTCGGCGGACAACTTGTGTGACAATACGACGCTGCTCGAGACGCAAAAACTACATCAGAGTAAAAAGTTACATAAATCTTAAGCCATAGAAAAACAATAAATAATAAAGACAAACTACTATGATTGTTCGAGACATATGGACTCATATTAGATCATAATCTTTACTATAAGGGCAAAACGAATTATTCTCAAAAATACTAGGTGTGTATTAAGAACATATTTTTATAGCAATTTATGAGTAAAAGTTGGGTTTTGAATAAACTCTTAATTAGACATTGTGATACGGCCTTATATATTGAAGGAAAACTTGGCTAGAAGGGCTTCGTAAATTAGCCTCATCGAAAACGAATGCTGAATTTAGAAAAAATATGCTTCGAAGAATCCATTAATAGATTGATGTTGGGTATCTTTGAAGATGTAAGTGGAAGGGATTCGTGAGCATAGATTAATTGCAGTCGCATACCGATGAGCTGATGACTTCGTTGCACCATCCACGTTTTGACCCTAAGGCAATCCTCCTTCGGTTCCAAAAAAAGCCTTTGAATCAATTTTCCCTTCTAAATGAAAAATCTTAGCATTCTTTTAGAATTGAAATAAAAAATACCAACACAAATTGGCATTTAATGTAA